GGTAAGAAAAACCATGATTGAAATCCATCGTCAGGTCAGGCTGCTGTGGGATCCTAGGGCTTCGTGTCCCTCGCCCCGATGGGCGCCTAGGCTCTCGAGGCTCTGCTGGTGCTCCTCGGCCGTCGACCGCAGCAGCGGCTCCAGCGCTTCCAGCGCTGCGCCGCTTCGGTCGCAGCGCCCTGGCGGTGGGTGCGCGGCGAGCGGGACGTGGAGGAGTCGCTGGTTTTCGGAGGTTTGAGAGTGGATTGAGAGTAGATGGCATGTCTGGGCCCGCACAGGTTGGTGGTTTAGTCGTGGATCCTCCACCTGTCTAAGACATCTGGGGGTGCCAGTGCCATCGCACATCTGAACCACGACCTACTGGAAGGACCTGAAGGCTCGAAGTTCCTCCACCGTGGAAACGATGTTGGGTCAAAGGGAGATGGTGGACGTGCTCAAGCGAGAAAAGTTCTCTCAAAAACATCGTCAAACAATGGTATCTGATACATCGAAAACAAAACATAGTCCGTCGCAACTAGTCAGTCCCTTTCTTGGAATCCAGCTGCTTTTTCCCTTGGAATCCACTTCCTTCAGTTCCTTCCAATGCATCCTCCCAACAACGGCCAACAACGGCCCGCTGACGGCGACCTGGGCAGCCCGCCTCGGTGCTTGGCGGCCACCAGAATGGCCAAGTACTGCAGCGCCGTGGCGAGGTCGCAGGGCCTCCCGGTCGTCTCGCCCAGCTCGGGGTCGCGAGGCCCTTCCAGTGCCGGAGGTCCCACATCCACAGTGGGTCCTTTTTGGGGCGTCAGGGTCCAAAAGGTTAGGCTTTCCCCCTGAAAGAAAGCGGGGTCAACCAAAGGTCACCACCCCCACGACTGCACATGCCACCCACGCCTTAAAAATACCCCAACGCCGTGGCCTGGTGATCAATGAGATTGTCTGCATGTCCATCTTCCCGCGATAAGACTCTTCTTTGGCCTCCGGCGAGGCCGTGGAGCTGAACACTCGACCCGGTCGGCGTCGCTCTCCGGGCCAGCCCCACTCAAATCGGAGACCAAGGACAGCCGAGGACTTATGAATTTCCCAAGGCCAGGCATGGCTGGGCTATTCTGGTGGATGGGACTTAGACCAACGCTTCCTTCTTAAACCCATCCCGGCCCATCCCCTTTTCAGTAGTGCTCAAGGATGAAAGGGACACTCCGGCCCTAAAGTTCTGTTCTTCAACCGCCTGTGAGATATAACGAAAAAACCTCGAAAAACGACGCGCCTTGCCCCACCTCATTTGGTTCGGCAAGCAGCGCAGCGCTTGCACGGACCTTTTGGAAGCCTCGCTGCCGACGAAGCATCCGCCCAAGGCAGATGGCGTGAGCTACGGAAATTCTTGATCACACAGAAACTGGGCAAGGAATGCCAACCGGATCTCAACATGCAGAACGTTCCTGAGAGGATTTGCCCAAATCAGCTCTTGGTGGCTCTCTGACATGTGGACCAAAGATGAAGCCCTGTCAACTGAGAATCCTCAAGTCCAGACTTCGCAAAAATCCCCAGTGTGCCCTGGAGTACTTGGCGGAGAAGTGCTATTGATAGCTGGGTCATGGCATTCACAAACGATCTCATTGACTCCCCCCAGTGCTTGCACAACGACGACAGCAGACGGAACGCGCCAACGCGCCAGGAGACACCTTTCGTGAAAATCGAGCCGGTGCCATGGCGGGGGGGGGGGTGAAGCAAATGGGTTGGCTCTTGACCCCAGATGCCTGAACCCCTGGTCTCCACATATGTTCGATGTCGTACTTGGAGGTCACCGTCTCCGGATCCTTCACCAAGGCCCCGAGTCCCAAGTCCCATCTCCAAGCCCCGGAAGACCCCCCCCGGCCTGGCCTTCGCTGCTGCCTTCGGAGTCTCCTGCGGCGCGGCCTGCGGCGCGGCCTCCACCATCCACTTCTCCAGTAGGAGGCGCTGCTTCTGTGAAAAGTGCCTGCCTTCGAAGTCAGAGGCTGAGACTCAGACGAAAGGAGGTTTCGACAAGAAGAAGAAGAAGAAGAAGAAGAAGAAAGAGCTGCTTTTCCTGATGATGTTGGCTTCAGAATCTTTGAGGAGATCATCTTGAAGATTGCTGACAAAGGTCCCTGAAGTCCCCGGAGTTTCAGTTGCCCCTTTCAAAAACTGTGTCGATCGGTATTTCTGGGCAGCTCCGAACACAGATCTTGTGGACTAGTGTGGCCGCTACAGTTTGGTTGGTGTGAGGTATCTAATGACATCTTGTCTTCAGGAAGGTCTTGAACGAACGGAATGGTTGCCCAAGCCCACGAAATGACAATCCTTCCCTGACTCGGCGTCCAAAGGGTGGAAAGCACCGCTTCAGAAAGAAGGCAGATCTTGCATTTCCAAAGAGATGAAAGCACCTGAACGACTTCTTATCCCTCAAGGTGGAAAGATCACCGAAGTCCTTGACTCAAGGTCGAAAGTTCACCAGGGAACTTATTGAATTTGGAAGAACTCCGTTCAATCGGAGTTGGGAGTCTCCTTTTCCCTGGAAGAGGTCACACATGGCGGCGTTCAAATACAAAGCAAAACCACCCTGCTTGACCTCCCTCCAAACGAAAGAGACCTCCCCTAAACGGAGGAAAACGGACTACACAAACACAATGTGTATATATATATAAATATAATTGTATAAATATAATTAAGTAAGATATGTAATACACGTAAATAACATATATAAAGATGCCCACCGGGGGCGTTAGTTCATCTATACTGAATATATCGAAAGAGTATGGTACACAGCTCGTATGGCCCATCTATGTCAGCTCGCTCCGCGGAACGTCACTCGGCCCCTTCTCCGAGACGCTGAGCGCCAGGTGTCGCTGCTCACGGCTGAGCAGTTTCAGGAGACGATGGGCTTCGGCTTCCATCTGGGGCATCGCGGCGTGGCGTAGCAGCAGTCGTAACTGCACCAACTGGGTGGTGCCAGGACGTCTCGGATTGGATTGGGGGTGTCTGAGTCTGGATGTGTCTGGACCTAACCTGACTAACCTGAGGTTTTTTTGGGGTGTGGGCGTTGTGGCAGCAACCTGCAACTCACGTGAAAAAGGGATGGCGTCACACAGTTGTTCTGTCCAATAGGGGCAATCCTTGTCCCATTCCGTCAAAAGTCAGGGAGGTTTTTAGAAGGGAAGGACTTCCAGAAACTACGCGACCACGCCACGGGATATCATGCGGTTTGATTACCAAGTTTGTAGCTGGTTGTGAACTGCCATATCCCGGGTGCTCCTTTAACAGGAGGCCAATGATTTACCGAACATCCGATCCTATCCCGGAAACTGGCCAGTGTGCTGGTCAAAGGGGGATCCTAGAAATGGAACCCCCAAAAAGTGTATCAAAAAGTGCACCCCCTAAAAAAAAGGATGATAATAACACAAACCAAATCCTGGTTGCTTTCGGCAACCCTCCACTTTCTGAGCCGCCATGTCATCCCCCCAGTCCGTCCACCGAAAACAACCGCCCCCACCTTGGCTCTGCCCACAACGGTGGCCGATGCCGTGACCGCCGGCGAAGCTGTGACTGGACCCGCGGCTGCGGGTGCCGCGGCGGCAGCGGAGAGCTGGTCGAAGGCCTCGCACGCAAGGGCTCGGTGTTGGGCCACCCTGTCATACCGGTGAGAGGCGGCAGCTGTTGACGGAGAAAGGAGGAGTCGTACACTGTACACATTCCTTGTGTAGGTCAACATGAGGCAGTGTCTCGATTCTCGATTCACCAACTGTTTGGAATCTACCCTCCCTGATTCGATCAAATCCTCGCCATCCGACCAACAATAAGACCAAAAACACAACCGAACATCTTGGAAATCCTATGGAATTCCTATGGATTCCATGGATTCCTATGGATTCTTATGGAATTCCTATGGAAATCCACACATCCAAAATGGTCCCATCCAAAAACCCCTTTTGGCCATTTCTCTCCGCACCAAACCCCTCGCCTCGCCTGGAAGATGCGATCGAAGCGCTGGGCACTGCCGCCGCGATCCGGATGGGCCTGGGGTGGAGGTCGGCCCCGCGGACGAGAAGAAAGAGCGCCTGTTTGGGGGGTAGACACGGTAGACCTCGGTGGCCATGCATGAAAAGAACTCCCATCATGTAGAACTTCCCCGGCCTTGAGAGGTGTTAGCGTGAGCTTTAGCGTGAGTTCGCCATCCCTGATGATCGTCAAGGGGTCACTGTCGAGTCACCGACGGTTTCAGCCCTCCTCCTGTCCTCCCACCCCCCCGAAGCGCCTCCAAGCCTTTCACCTGGAAAGCACGGCTCAGCTCCAGCTGCGTGGCATCTTTGGCCACGCCCAGCAGCTCGGTCGCCATGCGCCCGCGCAGCTCGGTCGGCGCCCTCGCTCGCACGGGATTGGGTCTGGGGGTCGACAACTAGAAACGTCGAGGGGAACTGCACTGTTCCACATATACGTTATCTAGTTCCAGTGTATATATATATATATATTATACACCTGGAACCAGTTATACCTAGATACCTAGTTCTAAACTGCACTGTCAATACCTTATCTACTTATTCTAAGGATTGAAAACCAGGTTCAGCTCACAGTGTGATTGCCTTCCCGGTGCTAACCCCCTGCGCCCCACCGAGCTAAGATGACGGCAGCCGACGATGCAAGGCTCACCATGGAAAAGAACACAAGATATTGATGTCCCAGGAGTTACAAAGAGGGTGGCTTTTTGAGTCTAGGTGAGTGGATGTGACAGGGGCACGTCGTTCTTTCCTCCAAGTTCCGCACTTTCCTCATGGAACATGTCGATGTCAGGCTTGGATGCTTTCGAGGTTGAAAGAGTAAGATCCTCCCCTCCGGGGGAAAAGCGAAGGTCCCGGTTCCGGAGACATCAGGTCCGGAAGAAACGAAGGAAAAAAGCACCGCACCAGTAGAACCTGCCACTTGTACAAGGGAATCTGCTGAAAACAACGCAAAATCTACTCCTTCCCGCATGGCCTGACTCCTCGACTACTGGGCCCACCGGCCTGCTGGCACCTGGACGGGACGACAGGTCCGACAGGTCCGACAGGTGCCAACAAACGAGGTCTTCTCCAGCTTTCAGTGCTGAAAGCGGCATGCAGTCCTCCAGGTCTTCTCCCCATTCGTACTTGCGATTTGAAAAAAATCAGGGACCAAACACACGTACTATTTGGAAGTGGAAAATGAAGGAAAATGGTCCCTTGGAAGACTACTTTCCTCAACGAACAATGGGTTTTCCACTTCCAGTGAGTCGGAGTATATTTAACTAAATCCTCCTGCTCCCTCCCCGGCTGGATGATGCTGGGGAAATTTGGACCAACGGTTTTCCTCTGCCCCGTATTACCATCCCAACGTATCAAGAATCGGAAGATGGCCCGAAGGAAAAAGCACAAAAAGCTTTACTTGAAGAACTCGAATGTGTTCTGAACTGAGCTGAGAAATTTTGAGATTTGAGCCCCAAAAATGGCTGATGGATCGTTCAACAAGACCCTCCCTTGATTCCACGACAACCCGCATGTTGATTTGCGGAAGGGTCTATCCTAGTCATGATCACGTTGATGTTGATTTGTTGGATGAAGGGATCAATACCTATTCTAGTTGCTGTGACATACAGGGTCTCCGCTGGGAAAAGAAGCTTCGTTGGACTTCACCCTTAGCCACAACTATAGCCATCACAATACCCCACCATCTTGCTGAATTGCTGCGATTGTGACATCCTGCTGAACATTCTGCAGGACATTCTGCTGAACTGCTGACATCACGACATCTCAGTTGTGCTGCAGTTCCTCGGATGCAATATATTTTAGCACCCGGCCATCTTGCTGAATCGCGAACACCACGAAACCAAGCTACCCACATCATGAAAGCAAAGCTGTTTCGCAGTTCGTCGGAAGCATACTTCAATGCCCAGATATTCTGCTGAACTGCTGACATCACCAACTCTGCAAAAACTTCCAAGCTCAGCTGAGGAATGCTCAACTCGGCATAAGAATAAAGCATGTTCAATTGCACGATATTGCTTCACTGCTGACATCACTATGTTCTTGCGCCTCTGCGGCTTGGCTGAGGCATGCTGCAATGCCCGACCATCTTGTTTACCTGTCACTATGTCATTCTGCAGCTACTGAAGCATGCTGCTTTTGCCAGGCCAGGCCGCACTCAACAACAATTATCATGAAGTCTCTGTCCCATCTGTAGGTCCGAGAGTCACATCAATAGGCTTCAGTCCTCCATCAATAGGCTTCATGAGTGCATGTTCAAGCAGGCACGCTGCCTTCACCAAAAGGCAAGATGGCTGCCTTCACCCGTGGCTCCCTGCCCGCGCGAGCTTCTTTGAGGCAAGAACTGGTGTCGGACAACCGCACACCAGCATATGGATGGGGATCTTCTCTAGTACCAGCACCAGCACCGAAGGCATCGCACGGCGGTGTGGAATCCCTCCAATCCTTCGTGGCCCCAAGGCCGCTGAAGGTCGCCAGCCAGTCGGCAGGGAGAAATCCTGCTCGGACGCCCCAGTCGTCACCCAGAAAGTCGCTTCTGCTGCCGAAGGACTTCCCAGATGGCTGCCATAGGCCCTTGCGTGTGAGCTTGCGTGTGAGTTGTGAGCTTCGTGTGCACTTCCTCACTTCGTTGCATGACCAGTGCAAAGACTGCATTCAAAAGCCTAAGGGCGTTTTCACGCAGGCATGAAGTGTAGCTGGATTAGGTTGGCTCTTGCGACAGATTTCTATCACGTGAAGGAGCATTGGATGGGATTGTGTCATGCGATGAACCACTGCTGCACAACTGCCTTTCCAACACTTCTAGGATAAACCACGTGGCTTGGTTGCTTTAGGACTCAGATAGATTTGACTCAAGAACAGAAATCGCTTTTGTTCAGATTTGTTCCTCAAGCATCTGCTACCCCAAACACACCTGCGAGTGAGTATCGGAGTCCCTGCAACCAACGAGGTTTCATCTAGGATTCTCTGGGTCGCTCTAGAGATCCTCTGGGTCCACATCGAGCGACAGCAGACTCAATGGGCTGCTCGTCACCTCCAATGGGCTGCTGGTCCGCGCCAGCTGCATGCCCGCTGGGGCTGCGGCAGTGATTGACTGGCAGCGGTTTGGGGCTTGAGTTCGTGAATGGAGACCAAAGACCAACAGGATAGTCAAACCGCTTGAGCTAAGTATATATACCCCTCATTCTCGTGTCTATCAGGGGCAGATCTGGTTCCCTTCGCGTGTTCCAGGGTAGGAAGGACGCGTACTGTGCATGGCTGAGAAAGTGTCCCATCATCTGCCGGAAGATGTCGAAGAAACTCTTGAGATCTCTTGAGAGTCCCCATTCTTGGGTCCAAAGAAACAGAAAAAATATGAGTTTCTTCACATCTGAATGTCTGGCATGGGGGCACCATCCAAATTGTCCATCGTTGAAAACCACATGCATTGGACACCCAGTCATTCAGCGTCATTGAAGCTTTGACAGCGTTTGGTCCGGATGAGAAAGGACCAGCCACCATAGCACCAGTCCAGTCAGGAGTCGTCTTTTTTAGCTGTCAGGAGTTACCGGCCATGGCCGCCCATGGAGCCCGATGACTCGGCTTGACTCGGCATGGGCCGCGGTACGTAGTGTGCGGGGTTGCCGCTACTGTGGGCGGTCATTCAAGGCCCGGTGATGTGGCAGGAGTAGGCTATGCTATACTGTGCAGACTCCCACTTCAGTGGAGTGGAAGGTAAAAAGAAACTGATTCAAAGCCCCATGTGGGCCGGCCCTGCCTCTTGAAACAAAACTCTCGTGATGGATGGTCAAACATCAAAAAGATCTCCAACTTTCTTGAGGCTTTGGTCAGGTACCCCAGAGATTGTACAGAACATTGCTCTGGACGCGCACAAAACAAAAGAAAAATAACATGCTTGGGGAACAATCTTGCAGCACTTCATCCCGAACTTGGTGCTCAGAAGAGAATCAGGGTGGCTGGAACCTAAGGAATCTCCATTCGGGGCTCATTCCCCCATTGAGAATCAGGGAATCGGGAATCGCTTGATCTCTGTCGGGGGGAATCAAATCATATCAATGGAGATCGGGTGGCTCCAATCTCTTTGGACCCATCAGTTTGCTTCGAGTTCGAAGTCTCTGTTGGAGAGATTTAAAGGAAAAACCGTGACCAAGGAACCAGGAACCAGGAACCAGTTCACCAAAGCCCCTGGGTCATCAAAGTATGGGTGACCCACGGTGACCCACGGAACCTCAGGTCTTCCAGGCGCGCCTCCAGACTTCTGCTGGAGCGTCGTGCCAAGGGCTGGGACCCGGTGGCCTGGAGCGGGTCAAACAACCGCCAAGGCGTAGACGGATAGACGGACAATGTGGGACAATGTGGGCTCCCTGGGTCACGAGATGTTGACATGGTTGAATTGAATTTGATTGAATTTGTATGATGTGTGTTCTTTGAGATTGGGATTCTTTGGGATAGTGTTCTTTTCTCATTCGATTTGGACAGTGCTATGGGAAGGGGTTCTTGGGACTTCTTGAACCTCTCCTCTCTAAAAGCAAATTTAGCTCGGCCAACCCTGGATGTGAAGCGAGGTGAGATTCTAGGTTGCATTCCCAGCTGTGGTGGCAACCACGCTAGTGTCTATTCAAGTGTCCATAAATGTTTCTGACTGTAATTACGCAGGGCAGCGCTAATAAACATCCCTTTTTTCCCCCAGGCCCCCAAATAATCTCTACTTCACTTCACCTTCAAACATGAATTGCCTGTGAGGAAAACCAGCAAGCTTCAGCATGGAAAATGATTACATTTGGTCAGCTCTTCTGCACCCTTTGTTTGAGGGCTGGTGAGTCTGGGCATGTGCCTGGGAAGCGGCAGGTTTTGGATTATAGGGCAAACCCTAAATGATGTGTCAGCAGCACTGGTGCTGGGCACGCGCTCTGCGCACAAGAAAAACAGACCAGGAAAGGAAACCTGAAGACAATGGGTGTTCCACCTTCTTGGGGCAGAACGGACAAGGACAAGGATTCAAAATCACTGGGAGTCGTGATTCTATCACTTTGTGAGTTTTCTCCTCACTCAGCAAGGACAAGGAGACCAAACCATTTGACTCCGGACTTGTTGACTGGTAGAGTGTCGGGAATCCACTCGGATCGTCTGGTGCGTCTCGATCGTCCAAACCGACAAACACAACCTCCTCAACTTCTCTTCTTGGATTGCAAGATCTAGCCACACAATGGTATGTCAAGTCAAAATAGTATTATACATAAAATTATGTGTATATATATATTATATGCACGGTGCATATATATATATATATGCAAGCCCCTGAAATGTCTACCTCTTTGGTCTTCTAGACGTTTGAATGCAAGAATCTAAGCAGAACGGCTAGATATGGGCAGACGTTTTCCAAAGTAAGGAAATTAGAGAACAAAGATGCCATTCAGTTCATTTTGCTAGTCGTATCTAATGCAGAAAGTTGATGCATCGTCTTCAACATCGTGATCTTCGGGTTCATCTTCGACGAACTCCTCGGGGTCGGGGTCATCTTCGGAATCTTCGGACGAAGGCGAGGAGCTAGGGCCCAATCAAGGCGTCATGGCAGAAGCAGATGAGACATATGAGAGTGTTCCGAATCCTGCACTGGGTCCTCAAAAGGGTAGAAACGGATTTCTCAGACGCAGAGGTGGTGGAACCACCTGCAAAATAGCGATGTATGCAACTCGAGTATGATTTTGATACGCTCGCTCTGCCAAAAGCTATGCCACCAATGTCTCCAGCGTACTCCACGACCGAGTCGCACACAAGAAAAAGAGTCAAAATCAACGGGAAGTTCAAGTGGATGGCTCCGACCTATGTCCAGATCCAGAACCACAAGGTTCCTGGCACCAAGACGCCTCTAAGTGTGAAATCAGGCACCTAAATCATAGACCGCTGCTGGCGCTATTTAAGGGATAGGTTGAACATCAACCAGTGCGGTTTGTTGCGCATGCAATTGTGATCAGCTGAATATGAGTTTTGGCTGCGGGGTCAGGACCTTTGGACTGCAGCTGGTTCATTGGTCAAACGGTTCATGGCAGAGTCCTAGCGGGCCATAGCTCAGGAGCCAACAAAAAGGGGAAAAATGTGTGTGAGGGCATTCTTGCTGCGCCTATGAAGACTCATACACTCACTGCATACTAACTCGAGGTATGCAGCGAGTTTATCATGTATGTCTTCGAAAAGGGATCAAAGGTGGATCTCAGCGGGGCTAGCTTATATATAATTCTATATATATATATATATATCCATCCCCGCCCTGCAAACACATGAGCGGCGTCTATGTGCGGTTTGCGAAAGAAATTCCGTGTGCCGCGGACTTGAGTGCTCCCATGGCTCAAATCCAGTTGCCTCAGCCCCCTTGTTCAAATCCAGTTTGAAAACGTGGGTCCCCTCCTGCAGGACCGGACCGGAACGGAAAGAGACGGAACCAACGCGGGATGAGACATGATATCGTCCACAGGGCAGGGCATGAAAAATCGCTTGGAACGCTCAAAATCCCTCAACAACGCTCAGAGTAAAGACCCATACAACACACAACCAATTCACTCAACCTACTCGTAAAATATACTCTGGTTGATTCATTCTGTGCTGTAAGAAGTGGGGTCATATAATACGATGTTGGATAGTTTATATGCATCAACGTGTCTGTTATTTTCGGTCAGAAAACCATTGGCAGGAAACCTCCAGTGCATGTCTTCTTACACGTCTAACTCCTTGATGGACATGTGTTGCCTCAATTGCTGGCGATGCTTGGCACCAGTCAACCAAGCCAAAGAAACCGAGAAATGACTGCGCGTCAAAAGTCAAAACCTACCTGGAAGGTCGTTCGCTACATGGTGGACCAGGGCTCCAGGTTTTGACCCATCCCCAAATCAAAAGGGCTCCCGAATCTGCAGGTGTCTGAGAGTTCTTAGTCTGTGGATGCACTGTACACCACATCCTTAAAGGCTCCTTAAAGGCAACCTTCTCCTTGGAAGGCAGCCGTAGCACCGCATCCTGCGTTCCGGCGTGCGGCTATGGCGGGACCCCCCCCAAGCTGACCAAGGGAAGCTGATTCAAAAAATGGATGCAGGAGGAAGAATTCCATGGATTGATTACTTCTCATACTTCATTTGTAGTCCGCGTTAATTAAGTAGGCGCCTACTTATATAATTGAGTAAGGGAGTAAACAAGCTGATAGCTACTACGACGCTACTACCTACCAGACGCAGGATAGCTCACGCTTCTTCATGGAAGCTTTTCCCGCCGCCCCAAAGGCGGCGGGGGAAGATTCCTGGAGGAAGCGCTCGCACTGATTTGCTTCCTAGATTTTTAGGGAAACTTAACCTTATTCTTCTGTAAAATCCGTTGATCCACATCCTTTGGTTTCTGCGAGCCGGCGCGACGAAGCACGGATCGCTCTCGCAGAAGGACGGAAGTGCGCTTTTTGTTGAGCGTATTGGTGGTTCGAAAAAAGGGGTGGGGCACGGCAATCGCACAGACTTTGGGGCTCTAAGGTGGTTCTTTTCAGTGGATTTCATGAGGATTCTAGGATATTCTAGGGTACCTATGCCCCCAGGTGAAACAAGAGGCGAACATGGATGTGCCAGTTTGCGTCCACTGCCATTGCCATGATCTTGGTGGAGTCAAGAGGAGAACATCTCCATACCTGACACGCCAACGCCCCCGCCTCCTCTGTGCCTGCCACACCTCAGCGAATCCACAACAGGACCAATCCCCAAAAAGGAGTCTGCCACAGAATTGCTCCTTACAAGATATGAAAGAACAACGCTAACAACGCTGTGGCTCGCCTTGACTCTTCTGGGCCGAGGAGTCTTCGGCATGATCCTTTGAATCTGATCCTTTGGGAGCCGAGAGGCAACCATTGATGCTGACGACACGCTCAGGCCTGACGAGGAGACACTCGTCTTCATCGGAGTGTCGTCTGGATCGGAGAACGGCTCAACGATCAAGGATCAAGGGAAGTGGCATGGCTTTTTCGTGCGTGGTCTCAAAATGTCCCAAGTCCCGTTTTCCCTTTATTTCCATGTCACCAAAAATCAAGAACGACGCCTTCTTGGGCCACGCCGCAGCGGACGGATCCCTTCCTACTCCCGCCCTGGGCCGTCCGTCGCACGGATGCTGAATGGACTCCACTTGACTGGTCGATCGAAAGTCGACGAAAACACCCGTGCACCGCGACTCGTCGGGGAACAGCGACGCGTCGAGGTGGGGTCACTTCGAGTCCACAGCCGGGGTCCGCGTCGGCGAACTTGCTTCACACATAGCAAACCGCTTCGGAGATCCAACCAAATCGCCCACAGGTGCGTGACCAGTCTGTAGAGAAACTATGGAACGGCCCCAAACTGAGTTGACGAGTTGCACACAAGCTCCGTTTGATCAACTTCTGATCAAATCGCACCACTGTTCCTCTTTGACGCGACTGCTCCTCGCTCGCTCGTCCCTTCCGCCCCCGCACATGCGCGGCCGATCCCAGGGTGGAGGCCTCGGGCGTTTTCGGGGTCAAAAGCACACGGTTGGATGGGATTGGGTGGAGGTTGGATGGGGTTTTGGGCGGAGGTTGGATGGGATTGGGTGGAGGTTGGATGGGATTGGGTGGAGGTTGGATGGGGTTTTGGGCGGAGGCTGGATGGGATTGGGTGGAGGTTGGATGGGATTGGGTGGGGTTGGGGGACTTGGGGGAGATGTTTTAAGGATTTGTGGTGATATGGCAGTGATTCCATACTGGGGGACGGGACGCTGGGTCAGTTTTTGGCCACCAAAAAAGAATAGAGTTACTAGACTCTAGACATGATCAACCCATACAGTATTGGCAGATGTTTCTGGGATTTTCTGGGATATTGTTGAGATGGTTGTGGGGACCCACTATAGTTGATCTGAAACGGCAAATGCCAGCAATTGGCCACCCTTTCTGAAGGGGGAAGAAACCTCTGAATCAAACGACATTGTTTGCTGTTGGTCAGATAGGTTGTGTCTCGTTCCAGAATGCCCTGCAAATCGCATCCACCCTTCCACCTCTTTCTTGAGCTGGACATGTGGTTGTGCTTCAACTGAGAATCAGTGGGGTTCCCGGACCAAACCCAAAACCGGGAGCCAAACCATAGGTTCTCTTCCCATAACCACTGCTCTTGACTCAACCCTTGACCCTTGACCCTTGGCTTCTCCAGTGCTGCTGGGTTCACCCCAAGGACGTGTGATGCCAGAACTCTCGGCCATCAGGGCCTGGCGGCTCGCCACCGCGGCGTGGGACAGGGTGTTGGTGAAGCAGGCTTGCCTATGGTCCTTATTTTCTAGTGACACGCGTCCACGGCTTTCTGCCAAGCATCAGTGGTCCAGTGGCTCTTCCAATGTTTTTCAAGCCATAGACTTGAGTGACATCAAGTCAAAAATGCCTAACCTCATGTCACATCTCAATGTGAACCAGACAAAACAAACACACATAGACTACATAGACAAAGAATGGGACACATCAGGAAGTTGATTTAAAAAAACAGAAGAACGCGCCAAGGAATAGACTAGCTAGTTAACCTACTCCGTTTTGGAGGGGGAGAACCTGGCAGTTTGTGGTTTCTACTGCTCCCGGCTGGACTGTCCGACTCGATTGGCCTTGGTGTTTCACCCAGCCCTCCGCCGGGAGATCACTGAGCACCGGTGGCCTAAGTGCGCGGCGTGGGATGTAGACTCTTGGTATAAACCCCCATGTAAAGAGGTCTTTCAATTCATGTCTGGGGGGCTTATTAATCAAGAGTCTACATGAGTTTATGGGTGTAATTATACTCTATTTAAAGGCTTACGCCTGACAGCCGGGCGCCGGCCGACACGGGAGAGGGAGGAAGGACGTGGGGGGAGTCGGGGGACGGACCTCAGACACACACGCACACACACACACACACACTCATGGATATGCGTACTGATGTGATAGCGGTGCCACACGCCGGCCTAGGGTTCCATTTCCTAAGGGTACAGGTAAGGAAACCTAAAGAAGGAAGGTGAGGTCCATCCAGCGGAGGTCCCAAAGGTTTCAGGTGGCCAGCAACTCCAAAAGAAATCAACGATCGAGCGGACGACAAGGTGACGACGTACGTGCAGAAAAGCCAAATTCATCGCCGCTGCAGTAGCCCTTTAGTGAAGGAAACAACGAAGTAGACAGCTTGAGCTCTACGTAGGTTTCTCTCCCGGCAGGTACGTCGATTTGGCGTCCCAAATCGATATCACCAGCACACATCCAGTGTCTTCGTTGGTGCAAGACTGGATGGGCTGCTTGCACCCCCTGCAATAATACTAAACAAATCCAGAAGGATCCCTATGACTCCAAGGGTTACACACACACACACACACGCACACACGCACACACATATAGACATACATGTGTAGGATGGATTGTTGCGGTGGTTCTGGTTGTGGTTGTTCTCTTGGGGCCCGGTCGAACCCATCTTTGGGCTATGTGGTTGGGGCGATCTTGAGCGGATTTTGGGGCTATGTTGGGCCATCTAAGGCCTATGTTGGCCGACCTTGGGCCCATGTTGGCCCATCTAGGGCCTATGTTGGCCCATCTTGGGCCCATGTGGCCCAGCTAGGGCCTTTGTCTTGGGCCTATGTTGGCCTGTTGTTGGATGGACATGGAAGATCATGAGCCGCAGAAAACACTGTAAAACACAGGGGTCCTCACAGGTCCGCAGTGAGCACCGCAGGTCGCCGCCTGGGGGCGCGCTCGTTAGTTACCTTCGGTAACCAACCGAAGGCCTCCGGCTAGGACACGGCTCGCCTGGCCGGCGCCCGGATATAATAGGGAGACCCCGAGCCAATATGTGCATCTGGCCGCCAAACAAATGCCAAGCAAATTGACCCAGAGATACGTCTGAAAGCTCCCCCACCGATTCCCAAGCAGCCTTGGTTGGTGCGAGAATGCATCCAAATGGATATCCCTAGAACCTGACCTCGACTTTGTTTATCTCACACCACCCCAAAATCGAGTCTTATTTGAAGTGCTATTTTCCTCAAAGAAACCGCTGGGTCACTGACCTTTGGCTTCGAGGTTGTGTGTGGAGAACCGGACTGACGGGGTGATTTTCCCTTGCAAACCGCTCGGCGTCGTCCCTCATCTGGGCGCGTCGCCCCAGCGGCGAATCCGCCCTCGGCGTGAGGCGAAAGCGGTGATCGTAAGTTGACCAGTTGTAGAAATGGAAGCATGCGTTCTCATGTTGTTCTTCTTCTTCTTCTTATTATTATTATTATTATTATTATTCCCCTTGTTGTAAAAACCATCACGTCTTCAGCAAGTGATTGCTATGATCGGGGAAGTGTGCACCACCCAAACCATACACTTCCACCACTCACCCTTTGGCCCCGCCCCGCTGAGTGGCCCCGGACTCCCGGTAGCCACGTCCCACACCGCAGTACCTGGACGGAACCCGCCGGCCACTCGGGAGGGAACGCGCTCGTTGCGAAGTCGGGTGGGAGCACAGGGTTGAAAGGATCCCACCTGAAGAACACCGGAAGTCGCATGGAGAGAGTTCGGAAGCCGCCCCAAAACACCCAGCTGTTCATCCGACAGTGAGGAACACGGTTCGCACATCCCAATCTGGGAGGGGAGATGCAGGAGAACGATGTTCTGAACGTTTCTCCTCATGCAGGCTCATGGCTTGGTGGCGCTTCCTCAGCTCACCAAACCATCCAAAGCAAGACGTCCCAGTCCGGGGCACAGTTCGTCGCCGTCGCACTTCGCAAACTCCGTGGCCGTTTCCACCCACCTGCGCGCCCGTGCAGGCTCGCGGCCCGCGCTCGCGGCTTCAGCACGGAGACTTTGGGCCGAAACCGCGCTCGAGTGCAGTCAGTGCAGAACATGGGTGGGGTGTAAATGCAGGGGCGACATGGACTGTAGGGTCAGAATCCTTCAGGCAAACTGATTTAGGAAGTTGGGGATTCTGCAGATTCCGATCCACTTGACCTTTCTCAACAAAAAGATCTTGACCTTTCCAGGAGACTGCCCAAAAATCTTCAGATGGACCGTGAAACCAATCATAAAATCTGGGCCACAGAAACTATCCCACACTCCAAAACGCTTCAAACAACCACATCCTCCAACAAAAACGCCCTTGATCCTCTTGATCCTCGTGCTTGACGGAACGGGCCACGGCCACCGTCTCTCTCGGGTCTCGTCCCTCTCCGTGCCTCACGGGGGCCGCGATGATCTGCCGGAACCTCCGAGGATCTGCTGCGGGTTCGGTCAGATCGTGTGGCGCGCGGTTGCCCTGGTCCGGAAACCCAGGGCCATGGCCAGGCCTTGCTATAATATGATCATTCAACCACAAAAAGACTCAAGGAAACCCCTCCCATTGGCTCTACAAATCCTACAATCTACAAGTCTCTGGTTCTCGGAGTCCCTTTCCTCTGAGTCTCCCAGCGGATCAGCTACCCGCTCCACCAAGGGCCGCGACGCACGGTCACGGCGCAGGAGCATCGCCTAAGGGAAAGACCGCGCGGACCCAAAGGAATGCTCCACAGCGGAGGTGGATGCTATGCTAATGTAGACTCTCGATTAATACCCCCCATACAACGAGGTATTTCAATCCAAATGGGGAGGGTTGATTAATCAATAGTCTACATTATGTGCAGTTGAGCAATCTGCCATCGGCAATTCCAGTCCAGTTCAACTGTCACTGAGCGCTGCCTGTGGGTCCGCATTCATGCTGAACTTCACCAGCAAATGCCCCGCAGCCTCAGCAAATTGCTCACCCAAGCACGTGATCCCCCACAAAGCTTATCACCAAAGAGCCCTCCCACAAATCCCACTTGAGTTGTTTCTACTGGCCACGATGAAAATCAACCAACACACTCCCGAAGTACAACCCCACCAACGCTCCACACCAAGGAGCTTGGGGTCTTTGTTGAAGTGGAGGTCTTCCGTACTCTGAAGCTCTGAACCAAAGCACCCCGCCTGACCGAGGACGAAGTCCCCCGCCCCTCCAGCGCCACCCACATGGGTCAACCTGGGCGGGAGAGCTTGGCAGCCAGGTTTGGTACCAGCAACTCCGGTTCAAGCGAAAGCTGCTGATGCTCTGTGGGGCTTCGGCAGCTGCTCTCGGGACGACGTGACCATGAGGGTGCCATAGACCCAACGGAGGGTGCCATCCACGTCCATTGCCGCTCTTTGCTCCGTTCGTAGCTACGGCCAGGAGCTACGTTCGTCGCGTCCGAACGCTCCGAACGTAGCGATGCTCTTGTTCCTAGTAGAATTGAATGTTAGTTCCAGGGAGAGTAATGCTTTTCCGCCCAGAGCTTCCTCCAAGCACCGCACGGGAAGGGTAGGACTGGCGTCTCCCAGGAGTAGGTGCCTCGTTTCACGCTCAAATCGAGAGGAAAGCGAATCCTGCGTCTCCCAGCCCATGGGGGCGATCGGGCGTCTGTTCTTTCGCATGCTCTCGCGATCTCAGGAACCGATCTCAGGTGCGGTTGAAGAGAAAGGAAGGATCCTTTTTTGTCACTGGCGATGCTCAACAAGTTGACACCAAAGAACCAAAGACAGAGAAGCAGTCCATGTCAATCCTGGAAACGGCGCTGGAAAGGGGCGGCGCAGTGTGGGGTAGATCTAGCGGCCTTTCGAGGCCAAGCGACCAGAGATGAAGCTTCCTTCGGAAACAGGAGATGAATCATGGATGACTCGTTCGCCTTTATCGATGCCAAACCCCAGGGCCGGCCTTGCAAGTGGCCAAGTGAAACATGAACATAAAGTCACCCCCAAAAGACCCCCCAAAGAAAACAATTGCATATAACATCCGACCAAAGAGACTCTCTAGTCTTTTTGTCTGCACCAACAAAAAGGACACCTGTTTTGCGACCCACCCTGCTCTTCCAACCCCCGCGGGGCACCTTTCCGTCTGGGCGTGGTATCCACCTGATGTCTGGTGGAGTCGCCTGATGGGCAGTGACCGCTGAACCTCTCGAAGAACCGATCAAACGTTCCTGTGGCTGTGCTGTGCCTCGCGAAGAACCTCGCGAATTCAGCGTCCAAGGACTTTCAAACGTTGGCACCAAGCTCCACGTTCACTGACTTCGACCAAATGCAGCGAACAACAAGTGAGCCACTCCCTCTGCGAGGGAACACCAAAAAGGAGAAGGAAGGACGTGAGTTCTTCACTCGGTTAGTTCTTCACTCGTCAGTGTGTGCGTGTGTTGGGCCAAATGCTTGGACTCAAATGGACTGCTCTTTTTCAAAAGAAACCCTTGGAACCGAGGTTAGAAGCTTCGCCACAAAGCAATGGAGAAAGCATGAACCCATGGCATCAAGGTCTGCCCCTTTGAAGGCCAACAAAAAGACTTTCTGTTGCATGTCCTTCAGCTGTACAACTGTAGAATCATTGTCACTAGCCTGACCAAACAACAAACACGTCGTGTCCACGGTGACTCAGACCACGGTCGCACCTGATTCCTCAGACGCGACCTGAGGGAGACAGAAAGGAATCACTCCGGTGGATGATCGGGAAGGCCTCTACTCGACCTCTACCCAAAGAACATCATGGGGGCAGGAGCCTTGCTCTTTCAGTCCGTAGCTTGATGAAGTGATTCTTGTGCGTCACCTGTGTCCAAATCAACCAAGGCAACCCATGACAGCGGAGGACGAATGAACCCAAAGACAAATCGCCTGGTGATCCTCTTGTTGGCCACTTTCCTGCGAAGTCCCGTTCAGAACCTGTGAAGCCTGAACCTTTGTTCTGTGGAAACCGGTCACCTCTTCTGAAAAAACCATTGCTCACCCGAAAAAAGGCCAGGAAAGCTTGGCTTTGCAAAGGAGAATTCTCGTGTCACACGTCCCAACCCACCAGGCAGGGACCCGCACGCACTCCGGCAGCACCTGCTTCTGAAGCTCCACGGAGCACACGCCCACGTCCCGCGCCCTGGCCGGTGGAAGGACCCGCTTTGCACCCAGGTCTTTCATCCCTTTCCCAATAGGTTTTTAAGCCTTTTCGCCCAGCTCTTTCATCCAGCACCCCTTCTCAAAGTACTAGACACCGCACGGTCCCCAGGCCGAAGCGGCGGCGCTTGTTCGGCCTGGTGAGATTCACTTGAAATGGCCCAAAGCGGACGTCGCTGTAGGTGTGGATCCAGAGCTGCACCTGCCACAGCGCGCGCATCAACCGGGTCCGTTTCGGTCCGTTCGGTGCATTGTTGGTTTTGATGGTTGCCACACAATGGCAAAGCGTCCCAAGACCCTCCAAAAGGCTTGCTTGGTGCTTTCCCTGTCCAAAAGGAGGCTGGTGCTTCTTGCAACACCAGGGCGCCGTCTGGCCGGCCAGCACATCCGCCACGGTCACAGCGAAGGTGAGCCTCAGCAGGCTGTTCGGATGGCGCGGACTGGATGGGCGCGGAGGAAGGTTGCGCTCAGGTGCTGATGTTTGATGCTTGACGGTAGGTGCACTCCTTGAAATCATCATGGTGGAAGTGCCTTGCCCCGATTGCGGATGACTATTTTCCGAAGGCCAAAGAGGTGGTGAATTCCACTTCCATGTTAGTGACTGGGAGTGTACCAAGTAGATCCCATGGGCTGTGGTCGGTTCTAGTAAGCGGTGGTCAGCGTTCTTCTTCGCTGCGGTGGTCTTCCGCCCGTTTGCCAATCGTTGAAGGCAGTACGAACCTGAATGAAGTCCATGTTTTGGGATCATCAACCTCCCCAAACATGATCTTTTCCTATCAATACTACAGGTCATGTCGGGCCCGAAGACACGATGGTACCATCGCGCACTCCACCTCCGGAAAAAGCTGACACTAGTGAATGTGAGTTCTGAATTGTCTCTCTGCTCCACATTTGGAGACACTAGACTCACCTACCCTAGCAGCTAGCATAGCTCTTCAACCTAGACAGTTTGAACCCACAATCCTCAATCACGGTCTTGTGGATGACACCACAAATGATTTGCATCGCCCAAACGCGACCCTGGACCCTCATATGGAGGGGTCCGAAGTCTCTAATCCCTCGGTTTTGAGGGACCAGTCGGGCGTCGTTCACGGAGCGTCTGGGCGGTGAGATGAATATCAGGCCATGGGTGTCCGGAAAGGCTCCAAAGAATCGTCAGACTAAACGAAGTAGATTCTACCAGCACCTTCCGACAGGTCTCCGAAATGGAGGGTTGTGGTTGTTGTTAGGCCACAGCTTTCAATTGGTGATTTGTTGGAGGTGCTGGTACAAATATCTACAGTGCCTTTCGTAGATGTTCATATGCATTGTGTCATATGCCTCCAGCCCCCCCAAGGATCCGGGCGTTTCGTTGAACTGCCAATCGCAGGGAGGCAAATCCTCACATCCGGGTCCTCACACCAACCGCGCGCGGATTTGGGGTCCGGACCTGCTCTAGGGCGACGGTCGAGGGTGTGTGTACTTCAAGATAGGGAGAGACAACCCCCACCACTGGGTCAGAGGGGACTGGGTCAGAGGAGACCTTCCAGGGGGAACGACTGGGAGGTCTCCCCAATAAAACAACTACGCCCGGACTCTGGAAAACGAGGCCGTCCAGACCGGGGGCACTGGGACCGGCACACCAGACGTCAACTGGACCGGGGGTTTTCGGCACCTGGACCTGGGCCAACACTGGCGAGACGGGTCCCACTAGTCTCAAAGAGTGGTATGGTGGAATCCTGGTCGGCTTACACCCAAAGAAACATGAGGGAAATCCAGAGGTTACATCTTCAGGTATAGGTACAATCTCAATTAGAAACACCATAGCTACCAAGTCTTCCCCTGTTTGGATCAGTAATTGGATGTTGTGTTTGGAACTTGGGAGCTTCCCAAACGTCTCTTGACCAGTGAGTGTCTGGCGTTTTCAAAGAGGGACCGTGCCAATGTTGTGAGATGCTTGAACTTGTTTCTTTTCCCAACCTGCTTCCTTTATTTCCAACCAATGCCCCAGCTTCCTGTTCCGAACGCAGGAAAGATCTCATATGTCTCTTCCCAAACGTCACATCCATTGTCTCTCAGGGCTGAGACTCAAAAACGACCCCAAAAAAGGCCGTGCCACACCGGGTTCGCTGAGCATCTGCTTATTTAATATTTTGTATTAGTCTAGTGGCAGTGGTTTGCTTCATTCTGTGGGGGGAGAGCCACAACTTTTGTCCAAGCAGAAAGAAGAATCGAACCAAAAGCGGGCACCGTGCCGAAGACCGTCCGCCCGCCGCTCCCCCCACGACACGTCCCGTCCTGGGAGTGCCAGGACCTCGTCTGCGTCGCAGTCGCCGAACTCGGTCTCCTGCAGGGACCGACCCCGTCAGGCCGTTGAAAGGAAGCATCGAGCGACACCATCTGCGTGTCCGTATTTTCGAAGGATCGTGCGCGGATCGTGCGCGGATCGTGCTGATTGGCCATGGAACAAATACACTGCCTGGGTCTTCAAAGTGACCCCTTTGAGAGCCTTTGAGATCCCAAGTTGAGCTCACTTCAGTCTCGTATGGCCGCGATTTCGGATGACCATGAAATCCGCATGCCAAACAGGTAGTGAACTCCACTTCCATGATGACTTCGGGGCGGCCCCAGGTTTAGCCTGCGGTCACGGACCACTGCAACATTCCGTCCAAAGGTCTCCCCCCCGTTGGCCCAAACAATTCGTGCCCGGCACGAACCAGACGAACTGGAAGACATGTGGGGCTTGACATGTGGGGCCAAGGAATTAGCTGAAGAGCGGGTGAAGAAGTGGCTCTGACTGGTGGGTTCTCGGTGGGGCTCGTTCGTCGCGGTGGTTTTGTTGGGTGGGTTTTCGGTGGTTTCAAGCCGGCTTCGGACCACGAAAGACGATTCCCCACTCCCCAAAACTCTCGATCAGGTGCCGATTTCTCATTGGGTGCCATCCAATTTTTACCTATTGGGTTCCAACCACCAACTCTCCTCTTGAAAGAAGCTGCGAAAAGAAAGAAAAGCTTCAGCTGCCACTGCCCCCCATAAACCTCCAGAAGAACCAAACCTCCATGATCTCTCCCGTCCTTCCGCACGCCATTCAGCAGCGCGCTCACGCGCGGCCGCTCCCGGGTGAGCAGCCCGGAGTCTGAGAGCCCTGGGATTGACCTGAGAGGTCCGGCACAGTCGGAGGAGAGTTGAGTAGGGAACCAAGAAAACCACCTCCGTCCTTAGATTTCAACTACCTTTGCAAGCCTTTGTCAACACAAAAATGTGCCTTTTTTCAAGTAAATGCATATGAAACAAGCCCTATGTCATGTTATCTTTACGGACATATTCAACAGAAATATTGTACTTCAGTGGCCAAGACTTTGGCGGATTCGTCGTCGTGACGGTTCAAGAAGATTTAACATGTTGTTGATTGTAGCTGCCATCTCTCCTGTTTGCGGTCATGTGCAAGGCCCCTGTCTAGATGGATAGATAGATAGATAGATATAGGATTGGATTGGATTGGATTCGATTCGATTCCATTAGATTAGATTAGATTAGATTAGATTAGATAGATAGATAGACAGATAGATTGATTAGGATAGATAGATTAGGATAGATAGACTAGGATAGATAGATTAGGATAGATTGAGTAGGATAGATAGATTAGGATAGATAGATTAGGATAGATAGATTAGGATAGATAGATTAGATTAGATCAGATTAGGTTAGGTTAGACGGTTAGATTAGATTAAGAGAAGAAAAAAAAAGACATCTATAGATAGTATATAGATAGGACCTGTGCCGTATACCTCCCACTGTTTTGCGGAAGAATTCCTGTGCAGGGAACATGTACCACCAATCGTTCAGACCAGCGCTAGTTGCTATGGTAATATCTTGCAGTGCATGGTCAGCAAGAAGCGTGAACAGAGAGCTCTAAGTGTGCAGCCGCACAAACACATCGTTCTTTTTGGCTTCACGCGAACAGCTAAGCCCTCAATCAAGGCCCGGGGGAGATTGTACTAATAGATCCCTTGTCCTCCCAAACGTTTCCCACCAGATACATATAAGATGATATAAGGTGATCTGTCGTCAACTAGCGCTTTCTCTATACACAAGCCGTTCCCAAGATGAAAGCCCAAGTCTTGGATATGGTTTCCCTCTGGGCCCACCACACCAAAAAAAAGATCCTCTCCTCTCATCAAGAAGGCGAACGCCCAGACACTCGGGTGGCGAAGCCTTTCTCCTTCCACCACGATTGTTCGTCGTTTTGTGCTAAAGAAGAAAAGCCGAACGGTCACAACCTGGAGCATGCTGATGCATTCAACCCTGGTCTCCATACAAAACACACATGGTACAAGCACCGGATGACTACATCCTGGAGTATATAAATGGAAGCAAAAGTGCCATCTGTTAGTCTGTTCGGAGTGTTCCATTCTGCCGCCGACCCCAGAAAAACGGACCGCGACACCAGCGGTCATAGCGCCATCGGCATCGCGGTACCACATCAGAGACTTGGCTTGTCAGATAAGGGCGGCACGTCGGCTAGCCCGTCGGATGCCTTGATGCATGACGGATCATCCGTCCCGTACCCCGTACCAAATGAGCCTGCCTGTGATGACTAGCCGCCTAGCCTCCAGAATCGCACTGTCTCAGACGTCCGCAAGGACATCTCATACGCCCACGTCTCGAGTCCACTGCCCGGAGCAAATGCGCTGTCTGGATCCAGTCCGCCCGACTCCAGACAGCTCTGATCACGTGGCCACGCGCCCTGACTCGCGCGGCCACGGACTCGGCGCCACTCACGAGGAGTTTGCTCGCATCACTGGTGGGAGCAAAGTTGTTTGTTGCTGACGTTCTATGTTGCATCCAATCCTCGGGTGATGCTATCGCTCCTGGCCACATGTAACATGCAGGCCACAGTTCTGCACCACACTGCTGTGACAGTCCTTGGGTCATTGAGCTTTTTACCCATCCCTTCAAAGGACCCAAGCCACTCCAATCGCCTCTCTCGCCCCGCGTCCCCGACCGCTGTTCGCTCCCCGCTTCCCGATCCCTGCGGGTGCCGGACGCCGCGACCACCTGCACCGACAGCTTGAAGGTCTCCGCCTCGTTGATGCGGCGACCTCGGTTGTCTTTGTGTCGAAGTGCGGAATGGTGGGAGGGAGGGAAGAGATGGAAGATCCACCAAGGAGACGGATCGGTGGGGTTAGTCAGTCTACTTATTATATGATGTTCGTCATCAATTTCAAATCACCTTCAGATGATCCACTCGGACCACCACTGATGGCAGCCCCAAGTGACCATCAATGCGTTTTAACCTTCAAAGGACGTCACCGAGATCCCAGAATGACACAGAAGAATACCTCCAAAAATCACGCAGGAAGTCATATGCACCGAAGAAAACAGAACACCAATTCTCTCTTCACCCTTGTGGCTCCTCACCAGCGACCATTTCGGGGTCACACGTGGTGTTCACTGCTTCTCCGTTTCCTGCAACCCGAATGGCTCAGCTGTGGAAGCTGCAGGTCGCTCAGCTTGTTCTGCACCTCAACTGCTACCGCTTTCAGCCGCAGCCGAGCTGCCGAGACGGAGGTCGAGACGTCTCTCTTTGGATGTGCAGTGTGGGAAGGGCAGCACGTCCGAAGGGAGGAGGGCCTGGGGTTTTCCTTCTGTAGCAAGTGTCGGGCTCAGGAAACCACCGCGCATGTAAGCCTGAAACCCAGTGGGCGCAAACATGCGCAAACCCTGTGCCAGAGCTCTTAAGGACATAGGGTTCTGATTTGCTAGTTAGGAGCAAGTGTATTCAAATAGAATTTGTTGGCCTGTGCTAGGGGCCGAACAAGGTTTGAACCTCAGGCATTCTTCCCAAAAGGGTCTGAAAAGCCGGGTCTTAGTCTTTCTAGAGCAGCTTTGATCGTTTTGCGAATGACAAGCTGAAAGCAGCGTTCTCCGAGCGAAGAGCATGAGAATCCCTCATCTATTGCTGTGAAATGGACTAAATCTGTTTCGAAATGGACCAAATAGCTCTCCAAGCTCTCCTGAAGGTCTATATAAAATCAACCCCCTCGGCACCAAAGAGGTGTCCCCTCCGAAACTACTCCGCACCGGGTGCCGCCAGGACATGCATCTCCGCACCGGCCCCCCGCGGCACCCAGAGGCCACCGGAGAAGGCCGCAATCGCCTGGATCATGGCGCCTGCCCAGACGTGATCCACACGGCACGCCGAACCGGTCGTCTCGGTGGTGCCCGCAGAGACGCGGGGAGCGAGCGGAGACGCTATTCGTTCTTTGACCTGAACTGGGAACCGAACTGGTAGGCTCTTCAACCTCTCCAGGAAAACCGTGTTCAGTGGGAAAAGGTGGAACTAAGGTCTGACTTGAAAGGAACAGGTTCCTTTCGCGCATGGAGTCATAGAGCTCCCAGCAGTTTCGGATCATTCCGAATAGAGTTGCTTGAAAAGATTTCTTGGCGAAGAGCTTTCTTGGCAAGTTCGATGAGTTCGAAACAGACAGTGTCTTCCAATTCCTGACAGCTCTGAAACTCCAGAGGGGGTGCCGGAACTCCTGAAGAATGCCCAAGATGCTGCTAGATGGAAGGCGGGGAAAGTCGTCGTGGGGAAAGTCGCTTCAATCCCAACATGAACATCTTCCAATTTGAGCAGTTTCTTTGCGAGTCTGTCAAGTGGCTGGCTAGATCATCCAGAACATTCAGGCTCCATCACTTCATCACTTCATCGCCGTCGATGGGGCTCACTTCAGAACTGCCGTGGGTGATTGGTTTAGGGCGCGTCACGGTGGGTCGTGGGTCCAGTCGTAGCTTCCGAGAAGGCATTTGGATTCCTAGGGCAAGCTGTCCACTGTTGAAGAGCACGCCGATCAAGTTCCCAAAACTGCTCTGTTCGTTTCATGCCCAGACCACCACATGGTCCTTTTTCCACGTGGTCCGACCGTGGGTTTCTCGTGGTTTTCTCGATGTTTGAAATCTACTGGTACGGACAGGTCACTGCTTTGTTCACAGATTGAAATGAGGAGGGAAGCAGCTATGATGGCAGCTACGATGCCAAAACAGGAAGAGGAAGGAAACGTCCCAGCACTTTACACATGCTTTTGTGGGCGTTCTAGGGCAAGGTTGGATTTCCAGTCTACATTGCAACCTCAAACATCCTTTTGGGACAATGGCAACTTTGGATGTTTGGCGACTCAAAAACCTGCTTTGATCACCCCTCAAGGCCAGCCCACGAATCTGGGCAACCGCACCCCACAAAAAAGGGCTGAGAACGGCGTCCAATAAAAGAGGGTCGGTTCCCTTGGGGAGCCGTACAGGTGACCAAGACAGCTGTATCTGAGTGTGCTGGTCTATGAGTTCGGTAGTCGAAGGAACATCGGAAACAAGCCTCGGGACCTTCTTAACCTATGTTGAAAAAGCAATGTGGGCGAGACATAAAAAGCTTTGACTTGTGTGCAGTCCTTGACTCGTGGCTGGGGTGGTTGAGATTTATCTGATCGAATCATTGCTCTTCTGAGCCACGGAGAGTGCGGCGATTGACAGTGTTCTCTATTGGCAGGTCTATCAACTCATGGTCAACCAGGTTGGAGGCCATCGCTATTATATAGGTTGGAGGCCATCGCTTCGCTCCGAAAAGCAATGTGTTCCTCTACATGATCCATGTGGCTATGAACTCTCGGTCGATCATGGCAAATCCAGGATCCACCACAAATTACTCAAATGAACTCCATTGTTCATGTCAACCAATTCCAGCAAGGACCCAAGCATGGGTTGGGTCTGGCTCCTGGACCACTCGCTTTCTTTTGTGATCAGTCTTCTGTGATCGCGAGGTTCGCTCGGACGAGTGAGACCTTGAATTCGCAGGATGGGTCCTTCTCATGAGGCGAACCTACATGGCTGTACCTTGTTAGGGACCACTGAGAGGAGAACCCGCAGATCTCTTCGTTCCAGTTCCGGAAGACAGATCCAGTCACCCCTCGGTGCTTCAGGCCTCGATGGATCATCTGAATCATCTGTACCCTGTCAATCCCTGCTTCATGGACAGACGATGGATGTAGAGGCCTTCGAGGGGCCTCGCCTTGCACTGCTGGCCTCGATATGTCTTGTCAACGGATCGACACTGTCACAGCGGAGGTTAGAAGCGCAGCGGCGTAGAACCCTGTACGGAGTGGTGGAGTTACAGTATTAGAACTTGTCCGTCAAGAGTAATTTTCAAGAGCAGTGACCATCTATGTACAAATTCCTGGCTCATCTCACTCTCGTCTCAGCTCATCTTAGCTCGCCTCAGCTTGTCCCAGCGTGGGGAAGAAGCACTTTCTTCAAAAGACGTAGATGTGCTCCATATTGGTCCCGGACTCCTTCCTCTTTCAGGGCCCAGTCTGACTTCTATTTTGACCAAAAACCCATGCAGTAGTTAAACCCATGCAGTAGTTGAGCTTTCCCGTGCAGACCAAAAAAACTGTCAAGACTCTTGGCTCAGGCTAGTGGTTGTTTTTGGGATATTGGCCATAAACAGTCTTATAAACAGTCTTTCGGGTTTGAGCCAAGAGTTCCTGTTGGAGGGTATACACCACAGCCTTTCCCGCTTGCAATTCATCCACCGCCCACGTGGACAGGAGGCCAACTAAGTCCGTCGCTGCGTAGTCGGCCCTGGCTAAGAGGCGAAAAGGAGGTGAGAACTTAAACTGAAGTCGCTGGAGTGGGGTTTCTAAGTCAAGATCGCCAAAACTTCCACCTCTTTGTCAAGTTGGGTGGCCTCACTTCTGAAGTCCACCCAGAAGTGGAACTAAGCATGATGCTTTGTCGGACAATCCCCAGAATCATCAGAACATCCAAAAGGTTCCATCATTCCCTACAGCATCTCCTTTGGTCGTTACCTGCAAGAGCAAAAAACATCCCACAGTCTGCATCCATGTATCAAAATGAACGGGTCAAACAGAAGCTTTAGAAAAATGAAACAACCATAAAGCTCCGCCGCATAATTCAGATGACCACAGATCCCGGTGGTGTTACAGATCCCACATTGTCAAAACAAACGCCTCTCTTACGCTGCCCCTTCAAGCCAGATGGGTCCACACCACTGTCATGACTGTGATAGAAGAGACACGCGAGGGGCTTGATCGGTAGTATTCCTTCGAATCAGAAGTTAGATTAAGTAAGAAACGTTTAAAAAACAAAAAGGCATGAGTCATGAGTCAAACATCTGCTGCAGCATTGAAGAAAACATGAGGAATCACAAAGACGATCATTGAACTCTGTGATCTCTACGTGATCAGTTTTAGACCATCGCCACCCTGGCGGATCAGAGATTGCCAACAACTTGCGCACCGATTCCGGTCAACTGCGGTTCGCCTGGGAGAATGGAGGCGCACGCCTCATGTGAAGCATCTCTGAAGATGAAGGGCCGAGTCGAGTGGAGTCGAATGCGTGTGCTCCGACGCTTCGGAAAAGGTGTTTTCGCAGGTCAGTCTTTGCGGGGAGTAGAAGCTGCCAGGTGCTGGCAGAAGAGAACCTGTTTTTGCGGAGGTCCTACGTGAAACTTGCATTTTTTCCTCCGAAAGATGTGATCCCCCCACTGTCTCGTCTCTGAACTTCAAATTTGATCCATCATGATTCATGATCCATCCATCCAGCGGCTGATCTACTTCACTGCCTCTTCGGAAGCACCAAAGGCTGAGCAGAGCGCAAGGCCAGCATCTGACGGTGCGAGCGAGGGAAACAAGCTGCCCTCCATGGCCAGGGCGCCGAGGGGACAAGAGCAAACGGAACTGGATGACGGCCTTTCTTGAACTCTTGGAGTGAGTGGCCACCATCTTTCCAACAGACCATGCAGCATATCAGCCAAGGGAGGTCAACAACAGCAGGTGTCGAAAAAAGACACCAAGAACACCAGGGTGCTTACCTGGTAAGTAAGGCTGACGATACTTTTCAAAAATAAAAGTGTGGGTAACGTAAGGTGTATTGAAATAGGGAGACCTCCCAGTTCGACGCCCTGGAAGAAGGAAAATACAGTAGACCGACAGTAGACCAGTCTACCCATTGGCTGGGTGTCTGCCCATTCAAATACACGAAAATAGCGATGGCCTCGATCCTAATAGCGATGGCCTCCAACCTCATAGTGATGGCCTCCAAGCTAATAGCAATGTCTCCCCATTCAAATATACACACCCATAAGAATCTCTCTAGTCATCCGCCCTCGACGACTGGCGGCCCGCCCCGGCGGCCACAGACCCCGATCGGCGCACCGCCGCGCTGCCGATCGCAGGCGTCGACCTGAGTTCAGCTGAGCGGAGCGGGTTTTGGGGCGGTTTTGCGGGGATTTCAAAGAAGCCACCTGAGCCTTGCTTTGAGAAAATGGCCATATGATGCCGTATGTATCAAGGTGTTCATTGATTTGTCGTTCAAATTTTGAGAATGACCAAGTCTCACTCAAATTTGGCTTAGATGTCTTGTGGTTTATCCAGTGGCATTTTGTGGCTTCTTCATAGGACAACTGGTCCATCTTCCAAGCATGGAAACGGATGGCAGCAGAAAAAAGGACACAAAATAGTTCGTGTTTGGTTGAGGAAAACCCTGCAATCCTATGACCAGCCTCTTTGAGAAGATCGCAGCTCAGACTGAGAGGGTCAAACCTATCTTGCGGCTAAGCCGTGTGCCCCTCGAGCTCGCCTGAAAGCCTCTGCTAGTCACAACACATCCATCCTTCTGTCAAAACACATCCGTCTGACGTTCAGACGGAGAGCCCAGTTCAGCACACCAAAACCACTACTCTGCCATCAATTCTTCATGAACAAGAGGCGAGAGAGGAGAGACAAGAGAGATGAGATCATTTGGGACTTGAAGAACGAAGAACCATCCCCACATCCCCCCTCCCAAGTCAACGTCCCACTGAGCCCCCTGCTGTGAGTGTGTCAAGGCAGGCAGTGGCCTCAGGGCGAAGTCGCGATGTGAACGTTGGACCAAGCGCGTCTTGTTGGCCCGACCCTCACACTCCGACCAAAGCCTGCGTGCTCTGCTCTTGTCGGCAGATCGTACGAGGACCCTCCCCTCTGGGCCGCCCAGACGTGCTGCGCTTGGGCAAGCGCCGGCCTGGGCGGACCAGGACCGGGCTCGGAGTGTCGGACGGTCTTCTGTTCTTGGGAATCAGGGAATGACTCGTATACACTCCAGATACCTTAGGATCCATTCCCTCATTCCTTAGGAAGCATCAGTCAATTTGTTGCTTTCTCTGCGGCTGCTTACTGTTTGTGCCCTGAAAACAGCTGGATGACCTTGCTGATGAGCTTGCATGACAAAGTATTGGGCGAAACACATGAATGAGTAGAGGTGGGTCTTTTGCAAAAATTGTGATAAAGTCTCACCAACTCATGGGAGTGTGACAGGCCCTTCAAAAACGCCTCTGTCAAGTGCTGGAGTAAATTTTGGCTCTGAAAGACAGTGCCATGAATGGTCTAGTAGCTCGATCCGCATCCTGTGATGAAGAACTGTCCTCCCGAGCTGTTGCTCCGCCGATGATCTGCAACACTGCAACACCCAGGATATTAAAAAATAGTCATAAACTGACTGTATATGGGGATGGGTCAAAACCCAACTTTTGGTCTCCTGCTCCGGTCTGCGGAAGAACACACCAGGGAAACCCAAGGCAGAACCTGTGGTCGACCTTGGGCTGCCCAGCTTTCACTCAAGGCAACCGCGGAGGAGCTGGCCTCAGAGGCTGGTGGTGTGGCATCCAGGGCTGCGAAGTAGAACGCAGATGTGGAGGGTTTACATAAGTTGGAGGAGACAGTTGTTGGAAGGACTGACTTCCCGACATGTCTCATGTCCCTCAAATTACTCTTAGATGGGAGCCTCACAGCTGTTTTAAATCACTCAAGGACCGCCGATTTCGGTACCGTACACCAGAGGTTTCAATCCAAGGTAGAAAAGCATAGCAAAGGACCCTAACACAAAGCCACACGAGTGACAAGGGTCCATCCATCCTGGAGTACCTCCACACGATCTCGGCGGGCGGATGGCGCGTCGTTCGGAACAGAGTCGCCCTCGGTGGCCCCAGCGACCATCGGATGACCCCTGTGAACCCAAAACCAAACAGGTGGTCTTCTGATGTCCGTCATGGTTTCAGGAACGGAGTTCAGTATATAGTATAATATATATATATATATATACTTTGGTCGTTTACAAAACTCGGAGTTTCCACTGATCAGCCGGTTCTCTGCGCTGATGGCCTCTGGCTCTTCACAAGAAAACTGACCCATGAGATTCATGAGATCAAAGGAACTTCCAAAGACCTTGATGCAATCAGATCGGAGGGGTCCCAACTCTTTACTGAACAAAAGTCATGCAGCCTTGACCTGTTCTTGTTCCCTGACACTTTCCAAAACCCTCGCACCCGCCCAGTCGGCCGAACATGGCCTGCAGCGCCATGCTGTGTGGCGGTGCCTGCCCATCAAATCAGGGGGATGTCGGATCCTGCTTTGGAGGAGCTCGAAGAACCTGTTTGCTTCGTTTTTTCGGTTCTGTGAACCATTCCAGTGATGTGGCACGGCAGATTCGCAGCGGAGTTCAGTGGTGCATCTTTGCAATTGAGAGCATATATATATATATAGTGATCGGACTCTACGTTTGTACACAAGTCCCAAGTCCCCTCCAACTTCTTATGGCGACACACCTCCTGCTGCTCGCAGTTTTCTCCACCACCTCTTTGGAACGACAGCTCTCATGGCTGCCATCCAGCTAGATGATTGGAGCGAATTCACTTCATCACTGCAAGCAGCACTCATTTGGCTTCTTCACAGGCTCCACGACGGTCGCAATGATGGGCCTCTCATGGCTCCCTCGCGGAGCGGAGGACGCGCTTCCGCCCCACTCCACGGTGGAGGCCATGGAAATCTTCTGGATGTCGCGCGCCGATTGACGCACCAAGGGCGCCATGTCTCGCAAGGAATCCTTATAGGTCCGGCCGCGGCAGAAGTTTCCGATGGCCTGGAAGCCCCAACGATCTCCCGGTTCGCGGAAGAGGCGCGCGATCAGCAATCCCGTCTCGCCCCGTGCCTCCCGGAGCACGTAGCGTGCCAACTCAGAGCCATCCTCACTGCAAACGCGACAGTAGGCATTGGCCACCTGGTCAAAAGTCACATTGGGAGTGTAAATGTTGACACTGAAAATCATCTGTGCAACCGTGTCTGGAATCTTTGCCAGGTTCACTTTGATGACTTCATCATCTCCGCTGCCCTCACCTGTGAGATTATCACCGCTATGCTGGACGCCAAATTGCTCGGTGTTGCCGAAGAACACAGCGCCCACCTCTTGGAAGTCCTTCCCAAAGAAGACCACAGAGACATCCAAGTCGATGTCCGAACCACGTGCCACGTCCCAGCCAAGGCCAGCGGTCACGATGCCCAGGCTGGATGCTTGTGGAAGGTCGACGACGGCACCCTTCTCCATGGCGAAGGCCACCTTCTGCCGCTTCGGGGCACCAGGTAGGATCCCCCGGATCAAATTTCCAAGGGTTGGTTCTAAGATATCCATGAAATGCCGTCCTGGTTGAGCAGGCGAATCAAGCACTCGCAGATTCCAATCTCCCTGGTCAGATTTCACCATCATTAAGACTGCATCCACTTCATGAGGGCTCTCCTCCATTCGATAGGATGCCACTTCATTCTGCATCGTATCCTCCAGCACATGGATCACTCCATTGGAAACATCTCGCAAATGGCCACGATTGTGGGCTGCCACCACAAAGATCACCGATTTCACCTGCTGTGGAATCCGTGGCATCGTGATCCAAATGGTTTCATCCAAGCCAGCTCTCTCCCCAGTTTGTTCATCTCCAGAATGTGTGATACACCGCAAAGCCTTCATATTGTTGTAGTAAACCGCATCAATGATGACCCCTTTGTCATCTACAATCACCGCTTGCAGATCCACATCCACGGCCTTGGGTCCTTTGTCCCATGAGATGCCAACTCCGAATTTGCTCACGTGGGGGTTCACCGGAATCTCCGCTCCACGGCCCAACGCCATGGCGCGGGAAGACTCCAATTTCCAGACCTGTGACGTTCGGGTCTCAGTTCGGCCATAAACCAAGTTGATCCGGGAAGAACGAAATGGAGGGGTGTTGTGTTTCCAGAAATCGGCCTCGTGAGCATGTTCTTGTTGAAGTTTCATTAAGGAAGACTCTCTTGAAGAGGGAACTTACAAAGATCAACTGAGCCACAAGCACATGGATGTCATCATATTTGGAATCTCTGGGAACAGCAATTCTGCCACGGCCCACAAGACCTACCCCACCAACTTATATAGTATATAATACACACATACACACAATAGACGATTCCCAACAACAATTCTCAACTCCCTACAAACAAGATATACACTAAACCCGTGTGAAGATCATCTTTCAGTAAAAAGGCCTGCCACGCCGGCCACACTGTCACTCCGCTTGAAAAGAAATCCCCTTAACCAAAACCGCATCAGACCGACGCAAAAACACGCACCGCGTCAGACGCGCCTTCAACGCTGGCTGGCTACCACTGCGGTTGGGGGGCAGCCTCAGCCGGTGCGCACCCACGCGCCGCCGGAATTCGGGTGGAGGAAGTCTGTGGGCCAAAGACTTAGACTTGAGGTACATAAGCCCCCAGTTTGAATTGGAAATCCTTTTCAGATGCGGGGGTTCATTAATCAAGAGTCTACATTGGAGATGCGAAGGTGACAAATCTTTGGGTCATTATGTCGTCTTGGAGATCCACTGGGCAGTTGTGAAGGTACTATGGCATACCATGGCCATCCGGATGGGTCTTTTCAGGGACAAACAGACGTGTGTCTCCAGGGGAAGTCTTGTTGCAGCTGGACCTGGCACCAGAGAAATCGGCAAGTATCATAAACCCGTCTGAGCGATGCAAAAAAGATTACCTTGGAAACATGGTGGAATCCCATGTTTTCTACAAATCAACCCTGCCCTGGCTGTTGATTCCTTCCAAAATTTTACTGTTTGAAAGCTTGGCCTCGGCCTCAATTGCCTACCTCACTAGATCCAAAGATTGTTACATCCCAGCGAATCCATCCCTTCGTTTTGTCCAGTGCTCATCCTTTGTCTCAAATTGATGCCTGACCAAGCAATCGCCAAGCGGTGGACTGAATTGGTTGGACTCCCCAGCTCACCCCTAGCCACGGACAGGGCTCCATAGAGCAAAACCCCCCAGCTCACCCAGTCCAGGCGTGCGGGTCTCCCTGCGCGGCCAGCGGCTCCTCAAAGCTCCTGGCTGAAGGGACCCGGAGATGCGAGTCTGGGAGAAAATCTGGAGGGAGACATCTCGCACCCCTGAAAACAAGGGCCTGCCAGCCACTGCCAGCTTGCCAGCTGGTTTGCAAGATAAGGGAGTCCTCAAAAGCATTGGGGAGGGTCGGGAGCTTTTGGGAGGGTCAATCGGTTGCAACTCCCACTTTTGTGAGATAGTGATAGATCTCTCAATTAAATGTAGACTGGTACATAAACCCCTCCATGATCTCCATATAAATGGGAAATCCTCTGCATAACAGGGGGATATAAACCCCTCAAGAGTCTACAGTCTACATACATTAATAGTCGCAGTCATCCACGTTGGGTCTCAGTCATCCACGGGCACTGACTCTGGAGGCGTCGCTCTCGGAACGGCGCCTCTGCATGCCCTTGATTTGGTTCACGTCAGAGATGAAGCCGTCTAAGACCTTCCAAGAGCTCAGTCCAACCAACCCCTACCAGGTCCAGTCTGTGCCAGCAAATCCTGGTCAAACTGACCTCCTTGAGTAGTGTTTTTGCACGACCAACTCCAGTAAAATGAGGTCATTGACCTGTAGGGAACTGGAGGTGTTAAAACAAGTCTATATATATATATATAGGCGCAGAAGCGGATCACACCCCTGGGATAGTCGTCCACCTCCTGCACGTCGCTGGTACGCCGACAGGGCGCCCTGCTCAGCTGCAGGAAAAAGCCTACCCTGTCCTCCACAAAGCTTGAGGTCTTCACGAACCAAGCACGAGTTTCTGCAAGATCGCTGCCACACTGCCGCACATGAGAATCAAATTGATTTCCAGTCCATAAGGGGAAGAGATGCCTGGGATTTTGCCCATGGGCCCACGGCCTTCATCTCGGTGTCCATCTTATTGCGAGTGCGCTTGATCATGCGCCTCCGTCCAGAGCGGATGCCCAGAACAGTGGCTCCCCTTAATAAATAAATAGGACTTCCTCCTGACCTGCTGGTACTCAGCCCATCCGCTGGTAAGGGACTTTGACAGCATGTTGGGACATGAACCAGCTACTGTAGCAAGTGGGGAAGCGTAGGCAGATTCGCTGGTCACCACATGTTTGTGCCACTTACTTACTTACTTGTTGGGAAGTACAATTCAAATGCTTGGGACAGCCGCAGTCCTACGGATTTTCTCCGCCTGAGCTCCTCTAAGGAGTCATCCATCTCCAACGCCATCGTTTCACGAAGCAGGTCACCTAGGCCGAACTCCGCCCGTCGCCCCTTGGCCCGTCGCCAGCGGGTCCGGCCATGCAACATCAGAACATCAGAACTCCGGTGGGGACCAGCCTAGGAGGATGTTCTGTTGACATAAGAGTCCACGTGAGGACCCGACTCTGGAGGGGGATACCTATCAATAGCCTCTTAGAGGTCTTTTTGGGGGTGTCCAACCACCGAACTTGGAAGGTGGTTCATGGAGACCTGCCAAATCGTCCAATTGAATCTGCCCCCGGCGGGGGGGTCTTCATCAAGCTTCAACAGTACTCAAGACCGGAACTGGCCCAACAGGTCTCCCCGCGTGAGGACCTCCCCTTGCCACCCTAAGGCATTGGACCTTTTCGGGGGATAGGAAAAGACCATATTTTGGGTGGTTGGTGATTGGTTTTAGGTGGGTACTCAAATAGCAGAATCCCAACAGTTCGAGCTCGTTCAAAACAGAGGTCATGTCTGGGCTCTGGGTAAGCACCAGCCTCCTGCACTCCTAACTTTGCTGCGTTGGTTCTCCTGGAGAAATGTCTGTGGTCCCCCCAAAGTCAGGCCATGTTTGAAGAGGTCGACCTGTTGGTTTCAATGATCAAATGCTGAATTATCCCCAGTCAAGATTCAATCATGTTTCTTGCCAGATCTGATCTTCACGTCAAACTGTCAAACGGTGTTCTGTGAGAGTAGAAGAATCGATTCTGTGTGGTCCAACACGCTGGTGGAGCTGCCGCACTGATTGCGCACACAATGCTTGGGCACGCCGACTATATTCCACCGGCTTAGCCTCAATAGCTAAGGGCTCCTCCTCCTAGCGGATGGACACTTGGCATCAGAAAAACCCGCAACTTGAAGACTGGTGCAAAGGCAGTGATAAATCATCGAGCTACTACCAACCACTTCAACTTTCGGGCCGTGGGGAATAACTCCAAACAGGAAACTACAAGGAAAAGCGCCTGCGCAAGTGGAAACGGCTCACGCGAAAAATGACAGAAACGTAAGACTCGACGTCGGGTCGACGTAATCCTCAACCCCTTTGCTCTCCCCCTGCTGCGCGTGCTTTGGGAACACATTAACCTTAACACGCCGCCCAACTGTACGAAAACCGCTTTGAGGTCAAGGCTTCGTTGAATCGACCAGACCTTCGACACCGGTTTTCAACAGCGGAGGGAGGAGGGGCCCTGCCTATGGAGGAGTCCATACCGTTTGGCACTGAAGAAAGGGCCAAAAAAAGCATGGTAAAGAACACAGAAACGTAAGGGTGAAACGGCCCAAAAAGGGGAGGTGAGTTTACCCATCATGGTGTTCCTGTGTTCGTCAGAGATGTGCCTTTGGTTTACAAAGCAGTCGCTCAGTCGCTGGATTGCGCCAAACCACGCAAATCCGCCGTGCACCGTCCTCAAGCTTCTTGTTTCGTCGTCGCCTCCGGCATCAAACCGCGTCCGAGTCAACAAGGGCCAACCCACCCGAGCAACGCCCGCCTTTGTTGGAACTCAAACCGACGAAAACACCGTCCGCGACGTTCCAAACATGCTCCACCCGACGCCGCTGCGCGAGGTGGCGGAGAATGTGCTTCGCACGATCTGGTTCCAATCAGGTAGGTGATGCGGGGCACCTTCATCTTCACCCATGGCGAAGAGAAAGTACAAGGTCTGTCTAGCCAGGGGAGTAGTTTTCGGGCTGTACTTTCTCCCTCACACCTAAACCACACCGACCCCCCCCCATCGCTGTGCTTTCCTCGTTCTTGGCGCAGGCAGTGCCAGCTGCTGGTGATCCTGGCAGCTAGCAGGCAACTGGGTCTCGCCTGAATGTGCAACTTTGGCAAATGTTCATCTAGGACGTGCTTGCATCACTCTTGGCAATTGGTTCCATCAGTTCCCTTCAATTTCAAGTGATTGACCCATCCCAAATGGTTGACCTACCTGGTTGACTCACTGGTTGACCTTGGTTGATACATACCGACCGGTTGACCATCTAGGATACATACCGACCGGTTGACCTACTTGGTGCTGGTCAAACCCTCTCGCTTGGTGCTGCGCCGCAAGGAAACCGGTGCAGTGCACTGGCCGGGTGAACTGGGCTGGGCAACGGGTGAACTGGACCCACGAGTCGCCCCCCCCAGAGACACTGCCCACGTGCCGCTTGGGCTTTGAGACCCAAAGGACGACCCTCGGACCCTCAGCACACAGGACCCTAGGGTTTTTTCTATCCAACTGTCAAGTACCTCTACATCGACATCATCCCCGAAGGGCTATGAAGAAACCAAGACCTTCTTGGGTTTCCCCATTCCCAACCAAAGAGTTTCTTCCAATATGGCCCTCCCTTGACAATCCTTTACAAAGCAAGTGCTAAAGCAATGGTGTGTTCGTTCCGTCCGTTTCTGCTTGAACCGGCCGCACCTGCACGCGGCCTTCCAAGTCCACTCCGGTGAGGAACGCCATGGACGCCAAGGAACGCCGCAGATGAAAGAGGTCCAACTTCGAGGTTCCGGGGAGAAATCCGTCCGGGCTGATGGGTGGCTGATGCAGTGCAACCTTTTCGGCTGAAGGCTGATGGGTGGCTGATGGGTGGCTCTCAAGAGAGTGGCCCTTTTTTTGTGCCAGGGGGTCTGTTTGGCACTGTGGCCGAGAAGTTCGAAACCAAAACCTAGGGCGGTTGGTTTTGTTGACAGCCAAATGAGGTGCAAAGACATCGACCGCAAGTCGTGCGAAGACTACAGTCATGTATTCTTCAGCGGTGCGTTGCTGACAGAACCAAATGTCTCTGGTGCAGACAGGTGCAATCATGGGTTTTCCCCAGGCTTCCAACCACAATGGATTTAGTGGTCTTTACTGCACAACCATTGCTTTACTAAGGTCAAACTCTTTTACAAAATGTTTTTTGAAGGCTAGGTGTCTTTTTCCGATTGAAACGCTTCAAATGTTTCTGCATGATCCTTTAAGATCTTCACAGTCTTCCACGGTGATGTCAGGCGTACGACTTGCTTCCAGCTCATTTCACATCCAGCGCATCCCAGCAAAAAAGCAAACAATTGAAACATGTGGGCGTTCTTCTTTGACTTTCCTAAGCTGTCTACCAAAGTTGATGTTGTCATCGACCTGTTGCGAGTTACTAAAACTTTCAACCCACTTTTGCGCACGAAACGAAGAGTCTCAAACCACATGGTCGGCTGGAGGTCTTGAACTGCGCGATGTCCTGTCGGCAAAAATGCACATCATTCCGGATTTTGGGCCCTGGAGTTCTTCAGAGTCAGCTGGTCGCATGCACCACCCCCGTCCTCGGTCTGGTCTGGCGAACTGCGACTCACCGTGCGGGTGGAGCGGAGCTGGCGCATGGAGCGCCAGCGATGATCCTGGGAGGCAAAAGAGGACACCGTTTGGACGACCTGAAAACACCAGGTTGAGTCTTTTGGACGACACCAGGACACCTTTTGTACTTCAACTGGGTTCTTCCCAAAAGGTGTCGTCCAAAAAGGCGTCGTCCAAAAGATTCCAGAAGTACACCCTTTTGGGGTGATATCGTCGAGGTTACCTTCTCTTGGAAGTTTGATGTTTGGCCTCTTGGCAGGACAAAAGAGAAGACACAGAAACTCAAAGTAACCAAGGGTCTCTTTGATCAGGCGTCCATTGACCATCGCTGGTCTTCAAGTTTGAAAAGCTGAAGAACTGCGGCTACTCAAGTAGCTTTTGTGATCTTTTTGTGAGTTTCGGGTAGAAATCCCCGTTGATGTGCCCACCATCATTCTGCTCCAGCAACATCCCATGTCCCCTTTCTGTCCTTGGACATGTCTGAACATGTCAGCTGATTCCGTCCAGGCGCAGCCACTCATGGCGGCAGTGAACATCCACAGACCTGCCAGCTTGGCGGGCGTCACACTCCCAAAACATGGTCTTTGCCGAGGCTTCAGAACAGGTATTATTGATGGTTTATGGTCCATGTTGTTAAGAACCTGTAGCCTATCCAGCAGAGTGTCCGGCTGGTCGCTCACACGTACGGCTCGTTCCCAGCCTTATTCGTTCGGTAGATTCCTTGCACCTCACCACATCTCAGCCACTGGATCCTAAGGCTGCGCAAGAAAGTGGTTGAAAGTTGCAGCTTCACGCTGAAACGTCGGGCATCACAACGTGAACAACATTCTCTTTCACCTCTCTGATCCCGAGTGCTGCAGTCCTCGAGCATGAGTCGAGCTACCCCGGAACTCGCGTCCCATGTTCTGAAGTGAAGGTTCCCCTTCTGTACAAATCAACGCAGCGACGCACGCTGCATACATTAAAAGCTGAGCACTTTGCAGCCCAACTGCACCGCGAGCCTCTTCTACGGTCGACCCTTCCACAGGCGCTTGCGCAGCCATGACGAAAGTCGACGCAGCTTGCGCTGCTCTTCGTGGCTCTGCGGCTCCGCAGTCTCCGCCACAGAGCTGCTCCCAGGCGACTGAGAGGTGCCAGGAGATGTCGTAGCATTGGAGATGACATCACCCATCTTCGCAGCAAGCTTCTCAAAGCCCCGCACACCGTCTAGAGGCTCGCCTCGTCCAAAGTGCATTCACAACCAAGTGCAGTGGATCTATGTTGTCTGGGGTCCAAATAATGGCATCTTCACATTTACTGAGTGAAATAAGAGCAGCCAGAGATATCATGGTGTAATTGGTGACCTCGAA